GCGTGCTCAGCGAGCACAACTAAACCCCAGCCGGCTTGACATTGATTGGGAACTTCAATAGCCAACGAATGGCCAGATTGTCCTAAGGAGGAACCATCAACAAAAACATGAACAGCGAGTATTGGATCAGCTGTCTCTGGAACAAACAGTGGCGTGACTTCCAAGGCCCAGGAAACCTCAGCTGGGACGTGAGGGATGAAGTCTAACATACCAAACCCTTGAGACAAACTGAAAGGGCACGATCCAAAAAACGATTGCGTAAGGCTCTTCAGGTCCTGAATCTGCTGTTGTTGCTTAGTCAACGGCAAAAGCGAATTGAGGGTCAGATGCATGGCCGTCGAAACTACAGCTGACCCTCGTCTAAACCCGATCCATTGTCTGGAAGTGCCTCTGAGCCTGGATCGCTGTGGATGGTCATAACCTCCAAGGACTTCTGGTCTTTGACATCTCCGGGGCCGAACTTGCTCTGTTTGTGCACGAGCGGGCCTGTCCGGTTGCTTTCCTCAGATCCTCCTTTGGATGTGGGAGAGAGGGGCACAGGAATCAGTGCCGGATCCGGCTGCTCTGGAGTTTGTTCGGATCCTCCAGGCTTCTGTGCTGCGGTCTGCGTCAATGCAAAACGGGCATTCAATGCCCGCTGAAACATGGTTTGCTGCTGTGCTTGTTGATACTGAAATTCCTTGAGCTTGTCCTCTGCTTGCATAAGCTGTGCCTGCAACTGTGCTTGCTGTGCCACATGCTGTTGCTGCTGCTGTTGTAAGTGGATCTGCTGTGTAGCTCGTTCTTGCTCGATGAGTTGAGCCTGCTGCTGCTGTTGCTGTTGAACATGCTGACATATCTTGTCTGTTGGTCGTTGCTGGTCACGCCAATTTGCTGAACGAGCTGATGCAAAGCCGCCTGGTCCTGCTGTGTTTGATGTTGCAGTTGTTGAATGTTCTGGAAAACTCCTGCCAGTGTAGATGTTGGGTCGAAGATCAGACCCGCTGGTGGGGCAGTAGCCTCCACTTGTGCATCTGCAGGTTGAGGCTGAGGTGCTAACTGGAAGCTGCTGGCTGCGATGGTGGAAACATGTGGGCTGCTGCAGGATGGGCTGCTGGAGCAAGCTGCTGCTGGTATGTCTGGAGGACTTGTTGACCTTGTTGTACTGATTGAAGCATTGCCTGCGGCCGTGGAGGTGGCATGCAGACAGCCATCGGTTGTGCTTCTTGTACTTGCTGTAGCTGGGGTATCCAAGGCTCCGCTTGTGAATACAAGCTTTGCGCACCAAGTTGCAAAGCATTGGGCTGGTATGTCTGCGCTGCCGTAAGCTGCACACCAAAGTTCTCTGTCACTGGTGGTGGTGGAGGGGGCGGAGGTGGTGCGACAGGTTGGTGCTGCAGTAAGCTGTGTACAGAACCCAAAACCTGGGTCAGCTCTTGCTGAGCCTCTGCAAGCTCCACTTGGGTTTGCTGCTGCCATTGCTGATATTTGCTGGCTTCGCTGTGTAATGCCTTTTGTACATTGGTCAGCAAGGTCTTCCAACAGATTTCTGCCTTTTGCAAGTCTTCGGTACTCTTTTGGATTTTCTTCTCGAGTTTCGAGACCTTGTTGGCATGACTGTGAAGCATAGCATGTGTGGCATCCAGTTCTCCTGCAAAAGTTGCTGCACATGTAGTGGCAATTGCTCGCCTGTTTGGGCACATCGAGCCTGGATCTGCTGAACCAAAGCTTGCACATCCTGTATACCCCCAATCAGTTTCACTACCAACGATTCCGAGGAAGACGCTGCAAACGATGATCCCAAATCTGGCAACAAATCGAAGAGTGTTTGATCGGCCTGATCTGACTGAGCTTTTGCTCCATCTGCTCCGGACCACGGATGGGCAACTGGTGGTCTGACTTTGGCCTTGGCCTGCTTTGGCTGTGTCTTGCTCAAATCTGTCTCTTTGTGTGCTTGTTTCCAATGCGTTCCGCAACTCCAGCGCTTTAGATATTGCATGGATGTCTTCGAACCGCATTTGCATTGCCAATGTCCACTTGGCATACTTAATCCTCTTAAGTACGAACTAGCGTGGTGCACAACAAGTAGCCTATATGCTCTGACCACTCTGGACCGTGGGACCCAAGGCAAAGACCTAGATCGAAAGGTAGCTCGTGCTCTGGACCTCTTGTGTCGAGCACGAGAATGCCAGCGCGGACTAGGAGGATGACGGGACAGCGTGCAAACGGACAAGAGACCGTCCTACACTGGGGCAACGACGATATCCGCTGTTGGATTATTTCGAGCCCTGCATATCAAACTGTTGTGTTAGTAGTGACATAGCCCTCATCGTTAGAGAGAGAAGCTTTCTGGCTGAATAAGCATGGTTTACAAAAAAATATGAGCCACCACTTTCCACGGGTCAGCAATGCCGTTGCGGATAGAATACCTCGCACGGCAGGAAGGCTGACGGATATTTGCTTGGTTTGCATCATGGTTAGCAAGTGGCCCAAGCATCTCAGCCAAATTGGCAGGTGAGTTCATGTCGCTTCCAGAAACGTCCCTGGCAGTGCCCATAACCACATAGAATCTGGCCACTTTTGGGAAGTTGATGCCGTAAGAACCATGAACTGCTCCCTGCTTCCTTGCATCACGAGGCAGTCCAAGTGAGTCACTGAGCCCATCAGTCATGACCATAAGGCTTGATTCTCCCATCTGTGTTCATGTTGAGAGCAGCACAATAGCGTCAAGATCCTCAACATCTGTCGCCTCAATTCTCAGCAAGGATCTGTCTCTGCTTAGAGATTCGATAAGGTACTCCGGCCCGCTGACTATCTCCAGAAGATCGACTGCCGGCTCCCAGCCTGCATCTCGAGGCTCAAGCATTGTCAGGTCGTTTTTGACCTGTCTTCCTCTGACCACCTTCCACAACAATTCATCACCACCAAGGTGATCCTGTAATGCATGTACACAATACACCGGATAAATCCGTTTTCGGCTCTTGTAGCTCGGCCTTTTGGTTTGAATGGAGGGCTGAGTTCTGGATGCTTATCCCGTTCACAATATCAGTCAGGAAGTTGAAAGACCCCCGAAAAGGCCGTCTTGAGGTCAGATCGATAATCACCGGACTTCATTGCCGCGTCATGCTTGCTGATCACACCCTCGCCCTCAGCGAACTAACTTTTGAGTGATGTTTTGCCTAGTGTTGGTGTAATGAGCTCCAAGGCTGTTGGCCATGCTCCGTACTCGCAGGCACCATCGGGCTTGCCTGACGCCACGTGTGGTTTCGCTCCCACATACAGAAGTGGGAAATACGCATGAGGCATGAGCATGGTGTACTGCGTTATCGTGCGTATGGACTTTGATCCACCAACCTGTAGTCCTTCGGATTGCTAAGAATCCTGCTTCATCAGCATCCCATGTAGGATCACCTGTGTTGTTTGTGAAAGATGTGACCTGTGGCAAAAATACCAGCTTGGGCCTTGCTCTCCATGCGCCTTGCTTCCCACAGCGGTTCGATATGGAAATCCTCAAAGGCGTCCCACTCTTCTTCGGTCGTTTCATGATGGTGAGGATGTCGGCCATTTTGAAGAGCTCTATTGTGTTCGTTCCCAACTTCATGGAATTGTTGTCGCTTTTCTTGCTCTTCAAGCGACTTTCACTAGTCAAATCACTCGTCTGACCAGAACTCGATGAACGTAGCCCTTTTGAGAGCTTCTTCTTCTTCAACTTCTTCAGCTCTTATTCTTTGCTCATCGTCTTCCTCTTATGTCTAGATGCACTTGAGCTCTTGTCTTTCTTTGGCTTCTTCTTGATCTTCATATCTTGATCATCTTGCTTTTTCTCTGGCTGCTCCTCATTCTCTGTAGCCATGTCATCGGGCTTCTTCCGCTTTCTTGAAAGCCCTTTATCTTCTGTCTTGTCATCACCTGACATTTCATCCTCTTGGCTAATCTGTACTTTGAGCGATTTCTTGAAATCACCATACTCCTGTTCAATCACTTCTCCGAGCTTTGCCACTCCTTTTGATTTCAGCAAAATGCGTGAATTCTTCTGCAAAGTCTCTTTTCCTTCTTCACTTTCCAACCATGCAGGATCGTTCTTCAAATCCTTGAGCATGGAATAGGCCAGTTGATTGGACTCAATGATAGCAGCCGCTGCTGCGTTCTTGGCCTCTTTGACCGTCACCAAGAGGTCTCTGATAGTCTTCTGCTTATCAGAAGACTTCGTCGGTAGACTGTTCTGTCAAACATCCACCTGTGTGTTGTTTTGGGGATGATCGATCGACCCACACAAGGAAGCACAAACAACGTCACTAGTCACTAGTGATCCACCCTGGAGGTCGAAGAAGGTGTTAGGGTTTAGGGAGGCCGGTTGGAGGCATTTGGAGTGAAACAGTTCCATTTGGAGTGCTTGTGCAGCTTCGATTCGTGGGAGTTGCTTCAATTTGTGTCTTCATCCCCTCCGTAGCATCGAAGGGGTGAGGTGAGGAATATCAATCTGCATCGAAGGGGATGAAACAAACAGCGCAATTGGTCGATCAGAGAGCAATTCAATCCCTACCAAAAAAAATGTATCAGTAAATCCTACTATATGAAGATGTAGTGGAAATCACTTGCATCTATCATCTATATAATTCTGCTCTTCATCCAACCTCAGGTGATAAAAGTGGTCCTGTCACACCTATATTACCAAGCGAGGACAGGGAAACCACCACAGCACCATCTAGACCGCTGGGCGCCACATCCTCAGCCCACCTAGCGGGTCGAAAGGGAGTACATATTGACCTGGCTTGACTCCTGACATTTGGACCAACTGTACAATGACATATGACATGACATACTGATATAATGACATATGACGTAGTGAAATCATGTAGACTCTTGATTCATAACCCCCCCATATGAAGAGGATGTCCAATTCAAACGGGCGGGGGGTTATTTTCTTCTCGATCCTCTACATGATGGACCAACTGAACTCGGTGCACCCTGCCGTGGACCGGTCCTTTCCCTTGAAACGACGACCGGCTCAGCTCGGCGTCCTCCGGCAGCTCCTCAGGCGTCTCGACTGTTAATTCGTCTGCCAACAACGGCGCGGCCGGTGATGACACCGAGGTCACTCCATCCGCCTGGAGCAGTCCGTGGGCTAGTGGACTCCAAGTTGGGAGACCCATAAATCGACACCATTCTGATGTCTAGGCAATGTTCACACAAGATCTTGGTGTTTCAATGTGAGGCTTTGGTGTTCACCAAGACATTGGAAGCTTCAAACCGACCCAAGCCGAACAAGGCACTGCAACGTACCAAGGCCAAGCGCTGGTACCGAATCTGAGAGAATCGTCCCGGGGGTTGTGGATGTGTGGATCGCATCTGCAAACAGAACTCAATAAACAAGCATCAATGTTTCGCCCAGCCCAAGATTGGTTCCTCCTCCAGCAACAAGTGGCGGCTGCACCATTCATACGGCCCTTCTCCGGTCTGGCGGCTGCACACTCAAATAGTTTGTTATCTAACTAGTCACTAGTCACTTGTTGAAGATTGATGTCAATCGTCACAAACGCAACCATTATATAAAGGTGTTCAGTTTACTTTCAGCAACAACTCCCTCCAAGAAAGTGTGTTTGTGTTGTCTTTTTAGAAGAAATATGTGTCTGAGTATATCATCACATATGCCTGGAAGGAAACAAACTGGCAAATCACCACTGCAAAACCCCACCGAAAAATATGTAACGCACCCATCTCCGTCGCCTTTCGGATCCGGACCCGCAAACCACGAGGGCACCTTCGGCACCGCCTCCGCGCCCGGACCCGCGGTCCAGTTCCAGGGAGCACCTGCACCGGTGGCAGGTGGCACATCGACATGGCTGGGCTGGGTGGCTGGTGTGTCTTTTGTAAAAAAACACCGAATTGAAAGACGTGTTGAACCCGCTGGAGTTTCTTTTTTTGTTTTTGTTGGTTGCAAGATGCAATCGTTGGTTTCCCAGCCGGATGATGCCGGATGGTTTGGTCTGTAAATGACGCCGTAAGAGTAGGACAATGCTAGACACAGGGGAGATGTTCAGATCCAGCGCGATGGATGGATAAAACAAGTCATTGTTGATGCATGTGTTCTTTTCTTAATCTCCACATATCTCATCCACTCCATCAGGACTGGAGACTAGTGTAGAAACTGAAGAGAAACCCCAAATATATCCAGATGTTGTGAGGAACTTGCGATATGTGATGCCTGCTTCACGAGAGCCTTTAGACACATTTATTGTTGGACATGTGACATGTTCTTCAAACATCGGGCATCAAATAACCAATCATTGTTCATCAAATCCAAAGACGGACCTCCCTCCCAAGAAAAAAATAAGACCCATCCTATGCCGCACAGCAACTAACCCGGTTCTACGACTTTGTTGTGGGGGTGTAACCGTTACCAGGATCGGGTGAAACCGACCCAAAGAACTGTCTTATTTGCAAAGAATGGATGTTGGTGCTGATCCGGCGTCCTCACAGTCTTGGTGATTCTGAAAGACCCTTCATCTGTCGTATTAGCTGCATCGGGGTCTCGCCATTTGGTCATCCAAATGCAAATCCCGATGGCGTCCTTAAATTTTTTAGTATCCTCCTGACACACTGCCGAGAGTCAAATCGAATGACCCACGAGATTTGCCGATTAGACACTTCCCCTCACTGGTTTTTTTTCCTACCTCTCTTCTGCCCAGCGGCCGCATTCGCCGCAGAACTTCGACAGTTCTGGCTGGTCGCTGCCGCATTTGGGGCATTCTCGGCTTTCGCCTGGCTGCCACCAATGGCCTTCCTGGTGGGCGAACGCGCGCCATCTTGAGCGAAAGAACGGTGTGTGGCTGTGGGGCCCAAAGCGGTGAAAGACTGGTTGGGCTGGTTGGACTCCAACAGTGTGTTGGACAGCATAAGCTGCATAAGCCCAATCAGGGTATTTCAACATACATGTGTGTGTTAAGGTTGTTTTAGCATATATTTTGCCAGTTTAGAACCCTGATTGAGGAATGATCAGCACAGAACACACAAGGGAACACATGGAAATACGATTTCTCTGCTTGTAAAGAATGTTTGGCATCACATCCAAAATTGAATGTGAGTTGGAAGCAGCCTGCAAGAATCACCTCCAACCAATGGCTTTGTCTCCGGTGACTCCATAACTCCCTTGTGTAGCAGGGAAAACTGAGATCGCGCTTCATGTCGGGGATGGACCTGGGGTCCATCCTGGTCTGGAGTAGATAGATGATAGAACATGAACATACATGAACCAATTCCAAACCAAGATCAGTTTTCCATTGGCTTTGGACTTTTCATGTTCTATCTACTCCAGGATGATCACATCTTCGCTTCGCCTCTCAAAACCCAACCATTTCTACGTCACACACGTCACGTCCTCAACTCTTCACGCCCTCCACCCCGTGCCTCTTCTTCGATCCGCGGTCCACGCGACACGGATCGCTCTCGCTCCCGTTGCGTCTGCCGCCGCTGGCGGCGCAAGCGCTCCTCCTGCCGCTGCTGACAGGGGCTGGCAGGACGTCCCCAAAACTTCAAGAACATCCTCTGGCGAGTTGACTTTCCTCAAAATCACATAGAATCTGAAGAAAAGTTGCCTGGAAATAGACCATCCTGAAAATGAAATACAATATATTATTCTATAATTTTATAACAGTACTTCATAGCTCAGTTACCGCCATTGATTCCATGATGGCCTCAAGCTCTAGTCCACTGCTGCCACCCAACAGTTCCGAGAAGCTTCCGGTGGACGATGCCTGTTGGGTCACACACAGCCCCCGGAAATCATGGAAAGCAACGGACAAAACCAACGGAGCTTAAAATTAGAGGTTTGGGGGCCAGGTTTTCCAAATCAACATTTAAGGATCCAGGATGCTGGGTCTTTGCTCATGACTCATGAATGTGGAGCTCCAAAAAGGAAGTGGCCTGAATCTAGATGCCATCCTGGAAGCATATTTAAACCAAAAACAACAACCATAAGGGACTCTTGACTTTCTAGTTCAAGAGATTTGGTGGGATCTCCTTGAATCTCAAATTCCGATTTCATCAGACTGTCTCAAGTCTCCAACGAGTCTATCCGACTGTCCCATCAGTCTCCGACTCTCCCCACAGTCACAGTCCCCACCGGACGCATCGACTAAGTCGAAAGAGCCTGCAGGCGACCTGCGACGTGTGCATTTGCTATCCCACAAAGCCCCTAAACAACGGCAGGATTGAAAAAAAACATGAAAGGTACTATAGAAAAATTACATAAATAGACAGAGAGAGAGAGAGAGACGGAGAGAGAGAGAGAGAGGCTTTCAATCCCAAGATGTCCCAAGTGAGCATCCGACGGAGCATCTAAGTTCTCCGGTTCTCAGGGACCCTAGTGGAGACCTCACCTGACTCCACGACCCGAAAAGTGGCCCTGTTTTCCACCGCGCAGTCCTCCAGCCAACGTTCCAGTTCGGACACCGAGAGCTGGCGCACCTGGCACTTGGGCCCATCTGCCATCTGCCTCTGAGACTTGTTTTACTTGTCTTGGTTTACATTCTGCAAACTAAGCGATCTCTTTCCTCTGGCAAATAGGATCACGTTTCTGTCCGGGAAGAAATCTGGCATTGAAACACGCCACCCTTGCCCCTCGTATCGTGCCAAGTCTTGAACAGGTAAAAGTGAACTGCTGTACTTACCCATGAATCAACCACAACTTGGATCTGCATGGATCTGGGTACTGATTGGATACCTAAGAAGGGGGAAACGAAAGCCAGGAGGAACACGCAGACGCGTTGGTTAGGAAAGGTTAGAAGGCTTCCGTGGAGGTACTCTGCACTACACACATGGAACCGGTTTTCGTCGGCAATAGATGCAAACCAACAGTCGCCACGACAACAAAGGCTGATCAATCCCCATCAGAAAGCGGCAAGGTCAGCCTCCCTGAGCAAGACCTCCAGCGGGTGAAAGGTACATATTTCTCTGCGCTGGTACATATTTCTCTGCGTTTGCCATCGGCCACGAGCCCCACGTGGGTAATAACCCCAAAAATATGGGTTACTGGGGCGACGAACGGCCACAACACCAGAATGCAGCAACATAGCGTGATGCAAGAAGTGCTGTTCACTTTTGTGGTCCGTTATATCTTTTGCAGGGCCTGGGTATGTCGTGGAACGCATGAACCGCTCCAAGTGGAGAAGACACTCCAGTAGATGATGCAGGTGGGGGTGGGTGCAAAAAAAACTGTATACCTTCGGTGATCCGACCCAAAGATAGTCAGATCAAATGACTACTTCCGGGCATGTTGCATTTTGTAAGTGCATATATATACATATACTGTATATATATATATTGTTTATCTTCAATGTTGAAGTGTTAAAGCAAAGTATTCAGAACCTGAAAGCAGTAGCCTTGGGAAATCATGACTAGTCTCCGCAAGTGACTGGCACGAGGCATGTTCCATTGTACATAGTTCTTTCAGCCGTGTTCAGTAAGCTGCTGCAGCTCTTCCTGGTAGGACAACCTTCACTGCTGTGGTGGATATGGTTGTTGAAGGCCCTGGTCCCTGATCTTCCTTTTGGGTGTTCTACTTGGACTGCTGGGCATTTGGCTTTTGTCTTTGGCTCAATACCCGCGGCATCTCCATATTTCTGCCATGTTGAAATCTCAACACAAGGTATTGAAACTGAAAGCAGTGGTCTCGGGAAATCATAGCACTCGTCTCAGCAAGTGACTGCTACGAGGCATGTTCTATAAATGGATATGATTTTATGTACAGTACATAGTCACGCAGCTCTTTCAGCCATGTTCACAATTGTTCACATGTCAATAGACTGCCTTTGGACTAGCAGGCTAACATGGTTTACATGTGTCCCCCGCACACCCCCTAATAACGAGCTTCGTTCGCAGCACTAACTTCAGCCTAGCCAGTGGACCTCCACCTGTTTGGTATTCAGAACATGGGTCATCCAAAGGGACCATTTTCCACTTCTATGATTCTTTCAGCTGAGCCAAATATGTTTCATCAAGTTCCATCTATATAGTAAAGCCTTGGATTTCTGGCCAAAACATCCAACCTTTCCGTGCAGCTTCCCTTGGCCAGTGCCAGTTCAATCGTCTCTGACCACGTCAGGTCTCATCGGCCGGCCTCACGTATGGTAAGCCCACTCTCGATGGACTGACGCCGCACGTTCTGGGCATGCGACCGAGCCTGTGGGGACTCAGGCAGCGACGTCTTCGATGGGTAGTTAGAGGCCCCAAGAATTCCGTGTGGTCATCACTGTATGACTGAGTATGACTGTATGTGTATCAAACGGTCAAAAGAACCATATTCAAATTGAATTTGGTTGCAACATGAATGGCAAACCGCCTGTGCCTTGACCATCTTCCTTCTGCCAAACTCATGGTTTCACTCCAGGTCCACATGTTTCGCTGCTCCAAAATCGTTCTTTTCTTTTTAGCAAGTCCAAATATTGTTCTTTCTATTCTTGAATATGTGGTCAAGACCATGAAAACATATGAAAACCATCCAGCCAGCCAGCCAGCCACCCACTTACCCCAAGCCCTCAAGCTGCGATCGCACATCGCTCTTCAGCCGTGCCTCTGCTTCATCACCTCGAAATGGGTGGGTAGAAGGAGTCGAGGGTACTGGAAGTTTTATGGTATTTTGATCCGATGCACATGGTCAACGCATGACCCCGTCCTTATAAAAAGCAACTGAGGTGTATGTTGAAGATAAATTTTGAATGATTATCCATGCAACTTGTTGGATTCGTGTCTCTACAGTAGTGTTGGATACCGCTTATCATAGAATTTGGATCCCGCTTAGGGAAGCCACGAACAGTGGTTCTCCTCTATTTCGGGCATTTGGAGGTGTTTCGGGAACCCAAGCACACGGCACGTTAAGAATGCTTCCTTACGTCGTTAGAGAGTACCAAATAAACACAATGCTTCCTCTTAGAGAGTACCTTTGGCCCATGTTGGCCCTTTGTCTCGGTTCTCTAATTATCTTTCATTGTTCAAAGCAGTGGCTTTCCTCAAAGGCTGAAATGAATCGCCAAGAGGGAAACTGGACAAGAGGACTCAGATCTGGATCGCCTAGCTGCACTGGAGATTATTTATACTTGGATTACCTGGATGTTGTAGAAAAATAACAAAGAACAAAGACATTATCCGGCAATGAATGTGAGATGCGGCGAGTACCATCACCCAGTGAGCATGTTCGGCAAACCATGGTGGCTCAGAGCTGAGTGACTCCATACAAGATTCTTCCGCTGCAAAGATGTCACAGAAAAGTCTGAATCATAGGCTCTTGGAAGTCGATTTAACCACCTAACATTTAATATTTCTTTGGGTCCAAACCCTACAAACCGTATGTTAAATTCTTTCTGATCGTTTTGTCGTAGCCTCACTCCTTCCCGACCCTTCCCTCCTTTCACACACCTTGCCCCTTCACCAACCCTAAGCTCCAAGCGCTTCAGGGGCGGCGCTTCTGCACGCAGCTCGGGCGCTGCTCTGGGCGCGGCAGCGGCCGGCGTGGGCTGCTCCACTTTGAGCTTCAGGAAAGCCTGGAAAGTCGCTTCTTCCATCACCCCTTCATCTGCACGAAGTGGCGCAGCCACAGCTTTTGGAGAATTGAGGGATGATTTAGGGGTGCAGGACCAGGCAAAACACGCGAAACTGTATCTGATCTGATTTGGGGATGACAAGGGATGAAGCCTGACTGAGATGAGACGGAACTTGGGAGAACGCCAAACAGCATTCCTCTCGGGTTTGCAGTTTGGATGCAGTTCGGAGAGCTACAAAACTCCAAGAAGGATACTAGAGCGGGGGCTTCCAAATGCTACAAGGTTAGGTCGTCAAAGCGTTGTCTTCCCTCGTTCCGACCAGAAAAGTGAAGCAGGAGTGGCACCATGAACTCATTGAACAAACTCTATGGCTCTATGGCCTAATTTTTTGGGGTACAAAGTTCTCACAACTTTCGCACTCGAACACCAGGCGGGATTCCCGGCCTCTTCCTTCCCGGCCTCTGTGCCAAGAGGGCCACTGACGGTGACTGTGTGGATTTTGTCTATCGCAGGGAAAAACAACAAACCAAACCATGTAATTTCACTCCCTGAAAGAATCATGATGATGTTAACTCCCCTTGGATGACCATGTTCCGCATACAGGTGACATGTTCCACTTCCAGGCGTTACAGTATTTCAGGGAGTGTATGACCAGGAAGGCCTTGGGTGACTGGTGATTATTTGACTAGGGTGTCCGCATGTGCGCGCTGGTTCCTGCGCTGGTTCTTGCTCCGTTGACTGAATGGAGCCCGGTCTTGTCAAGGAAGACACTCTTACACTACCTTTCGACCAGTATTTGCACTAGATGAAAGTATCTCAGGAATATGGATCCATGTACCCCTTTGATCGCCCCACATGTATACACAGTATACATAACAATGATTTACACATGTCTTTTCAGGTGCCCAAAAGAGATCCACGGAGATTTCATGGGATTTCGGATCGATGAGACAAAGACCGGCGCTGTCGGGTGCCTGGATGGATCTGTCATGTGGATTCTGGTGGAGATGTCAGCAGAAAGACTGCTTTCTTTCCATATCTGAATCCAAAGAGCCATTTCCAAAAAATACACACATACACACAGAATGAGCTCTGGATTAATATAATCTCTCTTATCTAAGTCTACCAGGTACTCCAGGTGCATGCATGTGCTATGCACCAAACATCTCAATCTTGCTTTGCCTTCACCACCACATCCTCATCATGTTACACCATTTTAACAACAATAACTCGTCCTCCACACGTTGATGCAAAGCAGTAAAACAACAACAACAACAACAACAACAACAACAACAACAACAACAACAACAACAACAACAACAACAACAACAACAACAACAACAACTTTTGCCCTTTCTGCTGGCACAATGAAACATTACATTAACAGTTTATCGTTGAAACCCAAAGATCCAGTGCTTCTAAAAATTTTCATGGACATGATTTTGACGAACTTGCCGGACTCTGGGCGGACTCTGGTGGGTAGTTTGCACCTCGGTCAAACGGTTTGACCCTATTTCCAAAATAGACAAATATATCTTTCACAAGCTCTACACCTGTCCGACACTCTCTCTTCCCACCTCCAACAACTTCACCTCATCCTCAAAGCCGTGCCAGACTTTCGCCACGGGCACCGTCACCCGGCCCAGCAAATCTGCCTTCCTGACGAAGGAGGGCACACGGTGTGCGCCACTGCGCACGTGTTGGGGAATTCACGGCACTGGAAGGTGCTGTGCTTTTGGGGGTTCAGGTGTTACAGAATCTCTTGCCATGTCGTCCTGTCACCCTCTTCCCGGCTGTATCACAGAACGCCCTATATGAGCCGCGTGCGCCCAGAAAATCACAGCACGCCCAACAACCCAGCTTCCCCACTGCTTCCGCGCCGCTTCGCATGTGTTTTACGGCCTAGCGTCCCAATGGCATCGTGGTCGCTGACCTTGAAGTCCAACAAGTCGCTCTCTGTCAATCGCAGCTCTGTGCTCGCATCCCACACAGGGTCGCAGCTGTTCTGGAAAAATCGTGGCGATGGATGTGGTGATATGTAGCGGACGTTGCAGAAGTGAGTGGTGTGGAAGGTGAAACCAGACTGAGACTTTCATGGAGTGTCTGATGAAAAAATATGAAAAACATACAGTGAATGTAAGCTATCGGGCTATCATAGTGCATGTAATTCCTAATCATGATGGTTTGCTATGGTTTGGTCGTCAAAAAAACGGCATTCTGGGCTTGCAAGCAACATCAAGCAACTTCACAAAACGAAAGCACCACTGGGGCAACTCCTTGGGAATCCACTGGGTTGGGAAGGTCTTAAGGATGACGGGTGCATGATCGAATCCGGAAAAAATCAGTATAAGCGGACTCGCCTCCAGTTCTTTGTCGAACATCTGGTTGCTCAGTGCGTTCGCCATGGTTTGTTTCCACTACATTCACGGTGGAACCTTTCTTCTAATTCAATCACGACCAGTTGTAGGGCAAGGAAATCACATGAACTCACATTTAAACAAACAAGGTAAACCTGTACTGGCTTTGCCGAACACGGCTAGACTCATGAACGAAGGACATACCTACGAGCCTAAGAGCAAGTAACTTGAGATTGAAGTTTGGTCCTGCAAGCAGCAGTCGCCGCTAGGGTCTTGCAATGTTCGTGGAAACTCGAAATGGGCAGTTGGAAAAGAGGCCCCGAGGTACACATCGGCATCCCACAACCGGTGCTAAACGAGGTGCTCTCACAAAAAAACGAAGATATCAACTAATGGCCTGTATCCATACGTATCCACTTTTCCAAGAGTTCCTGGAGGCATTGGACTCTTCTTTTTCACGTTTAGTGGCTCTTATGATGCAACAAGCCACAGGAACCAGGCCCAAAAGCATGGAACCAGTCCTCGATCACCTCTGTCTTGAAGAAGATGGGCTTTCCGGGAACGGAGACCTGCATGCGAATTCAGTCCTCGACCGGGTCGAAGTATTTTGATGATTAAGACCTTTCTGTTTAACATGGGTATATCATGTCAAAATCTAGAAGTGTTGGGGCGTTGAAGTCTCAACACAGATACCCCCGGACATAGGCCGACATAGGTCCATCAAAGGGCAATTAAGGGGGTCGAGGCCAAGGTTTGCAACAAACCAAAAGCCTGTGGCCCCGTAGCCTTGCCGAACGAATGTAAAAACACGTATAAAACAACACATAAAATACATCAACAAACTGATAACATGTTACTGTAGCTTAATCAAACATATAATTTACTTTATAATATTATATAATACATATAGATTAAATATATATATATATATATGTATATTGTTCATATCGGCTCACGTGGTAAACCTAGCCTACGCAACAGTGAATCCACTGCCACTGGCCGTGGAATCCACCATCCAACCCGGTCAGCTCGGCCTCGCAAAAGGCGTCGGAGCCTTTGGTCCCCGGCAGCCAATCGGCATCGCGGAGGTTTCGCGCGGAGCAAATGGTGAGACGCAGGGTCTCCTGAGGATGACAGGAGGGGTCTACCCAGTGGATTAGGTTTTTCCAGGGGTCTCAAATCCAAAGGACCGTGGTTGGACACGAACAAACTCCCAACAAAAAAACGAACGCGATCCTGCCATCTTGCCATGGTTTGGTGGGACCCGGACGTGAACATCGTACGCCATCCACGCACGCCATCAACGCTCCATCGCACGCCCTCCTCCATCGCACGCCGTCCCGGGCAACGAAACGCATGATGCCGGCGGCTCGGGAAGAAGCGCCGGTGGCGGTGCCGGTCTCGATAGATATATACACATAGGATCTATTGTCTATATAATTATATATATATATATATGAAAAAATGTATGTATATATTATATATATAATATGTATATGATTCGTTTATGCATGGGAAATCATGGGAGGTTTAGTTAACCCATGTGATATGTTTATTTTTTTCTTGACATCTCTTGACCATAGTCCAGTCATGGTAACCTGTTCAGTTGCTCTCATGATTTCTGATGAGTGTATGTATGACGAACAAGTTCTATGGAGAACTGACATTATTGTTCCTCCATCTGTTCATGTCTCATCCTTGGGCTGTGAGGGAGTTGTTCTGGAGCGGTCAAACATGCGCCTGGTTGGACGTGGAAAGCTCCAAATCCCTCGAGTGCATCTTCATTGAACCACCACTGCATGAACATCCAAATCAGCATGCAGATTCTGGAATGAACTATGAGGGTGTTTGGAAGAAAACACCAGGGGATGCCAGGGGGCAAACACTGCCAACACAAACCTGAGAAGTCCCAAGTTAGCGTCATTTGGATTGTTTTTGGATTTCCAGTCACACCAACCAAATGCTTGAAGGACTTCGTCGGAGGGCAGCTTGTGTGTGTGTCCGCTGGGGCTTCGAAAGGTCGCCGAATTATATATATGTATCAAAGCTATCATCCACAAGGGTGCTATAGGACTTGTGCACAGGTGGCGAGGCCCAGCGGCCCAGCACTTGCAAAGTGAGCAAGACCCTCCAAGCAATGATGTCCAAGAGTACACCCTTTCCACCTCCAAATCGAATTGAGAAGGGAATTGATGACTCCATTGAAGATACCTTAAGCAAATCGTCCAGGTCTGTAGCTGAAGAATCAGATCAAGATGGCTGCCATGGGCTGTTTATGACCGGGTGTTGAGAAGAAATCCAGTACGGTTGGGTTTGTATAGTTAGAATAGGGAGACCATCCAACCAAAGGATCTAGCCATCCTTCTACCACATAAGCTTCTTGCAAGGCCCTACGATCTCATCCTGGTCACAGCAACCAGTCAGGTCACTGTCACCAACGTTTGGTTTGAAACCACCTGAAGAATCTGAGTCAAGGACGAGCATCTCGACCTCCTGAGTCCCTAAAAAAAACCTCACACCCAACAGGCTCCTTTTGCTCGGCGGCTCGGCGGCTCGCGGATGGGACGTTCCACGCTTTCAGCGGGAACGTCCCAGGCGAGAGCGAGAGCGAACGTGAGCGGCGATCAAATGCAAAGCGAGCAGGATATAGAAGAACGTGTTTATATCGTCTATATATATACACACCCTGCAAGCCCAAACCCAATAAATTTGTAGGGTCAATGGAAAAACCTAGGGTTTGTGAAGGAAACCCGAGGTTTCCCAAACCATGCAGTACTAAAATATGGGTTAAATATGGGTTTAGTACGGGTTAAATATGGGTTTAGTACGGGTTAGAAGAACAAGACCCGAGGATTTAAGAACAAACCAAAGGTATTGTTGATTGCACAAAAATACCCGAGGTTTCGATTGAAACCCTACAAATTTATAGGGTTTGGGCCCGCATATACCTCTTCATGTATACAGCGCATGATATATGTATGTTTCTCAACTGATCGAATTGGAACTTGTCGATGTTTGGAGCCTTCCACAGCCCGATCCCAGGTCCAAAGGTCGGTGCACAGTGGATGGACCTGAACAAACCTCCAGGCGATATATGATGGATCGTAGGCAACCCACTCTCTTTGACACACCGAACCATATCCATTGGTCCTTGTGGCCTGCAGGTCAATCCAAGGCCACAAGGATCAGGTGTGGCATGGCATACCAAGTTCCTTAAAGTGGATGACCATCCCTTTAAACCATTTAAATCTACTGTTGAGACTGAACATTTGGAGCTAAACTTGCCTGTGATTCATATACCCTTTGGAAAGGGTTAACTGCTTGGATCTGCTTGGGGATCTCCAGCTTACAGCCTAACTCATCAGGCCCGAACATGCTCCGGTCCGACCTCGCTCCACCGAGCCGAATCGGTGGCGTTCCGTCGTGCGAGCGAGCTCAGTGAGACATTGGGTCCGTCCGAAGACCTGGAAGGTCCAGGGAGTCTCCCTATCCCAGACGTGACGATGAAGGGACTGGCATATCTACAGACTCCCGGCATGGAAACTTCGATGCCGCTCAGAAAAATAAAATGTTTTTGAAGAAATGCCGCGACTATTGTGGGGTTGCGGCATGTTTCTGCTTAGACTGCAGCGTGTTTGCGGCTTGTTTTCCCGCGTTTGAGGTGTGTTTGCCGATGTCAATGTGCCGCGTGTTTTTGTGAAGCTTGCTAAAAGCAAGTCGCGGCGTGTTTCTGGGAATGCAGCGAGTTTCTGAAAAAAGCGGCGTGTTTCTTCAATTGCCGCAAACAACATCAGCGTGTTGTCATGACGGAGGTAAAACAGAAGACACACACACACACTGCAAGATTATAGACATGTCTGTCCAGCCCCACTAGCCGTGTCTGGGTATTGGATCGTTTTAAGGTCCGATTTTGGTACAGAATTCGACTCCTCCTCGACCGGATGGTGAAACCCTTCGCAAAAAGCGTCCGAAGGAGTGGACCGGTCGACCCGAATCGAAGATATGTTTTCTGGAGGGATGCTAACCCTATTGCAACCTAAATAGATCAAAACAGGATACCTATCCGCCTTCCAGCACAGTGATGACTAAGGCGGTCACAATTAGTGAACTACAGAGTCGAGTTCACCGTATACGTTCTGTTTAGCGAACGAACCTCGAAAACTGTTAAACAATACACGGTAATTGGCAAATATTGATTTGGAATGATCAGCAGTAAAAGCCCATGTGATCATCACCCTTGGATCGTCATTGGCAAGGGTGCAAATGTTTGAATGGAGGTGCCAGTACTTGGAAGCACCTGGCTGGTTGGTGCTTTCAACCCACTTGATATGTATGACTACCATATTTCAATGTTAACGATGCGGCAGGTTGGGGTCACCCCTCCAACCTGAGCAGCCTGGCATCAACCTGTTTCAACTCAATTGCCAAAACCTCTTCGATTTATTGATGATATTATATAAACTACACCATTTGCTGCTTGCATGGATGAGTGGCCGTTTATATAAGCTTGTTTTCCGTCGGATGGATGTTCAACTGCTACATGTTCCCGCCTTTTGTTCAACGGACGGAAGCCAAGCAATCTGTGGTTTGGTTTCTCCACTGAATTGATGCCTCAATCCTTGTTCATCCAAGCACCCAAACTCCATTCCTAGAAGGTGTGTTCCGATCCTGAAAGCCAATCCTTATTCATCGCTCTTCGGACTTCCCCTGGCCGAACGGCCGAAATGGCACACGGGACCTGCACTCGGAGTCTGAGCATGGCAAGGCAGTCGCGGCGGCGACGCTGGCAACCTATCCTGAAGTTGATTCACCTGTCGAAAACTGGTGTGAGGGGAGCGGGTTGCCCGGGGTTGCCTAGAATCTCGCGTGAACTCAATTACAACCAACGGATAGAAAGCTCTATTAACAATTTTTGTCAGTGAGTTGATATGTTCACCTAGTGGCCGAAGTACAAAGACAGACACACTGTCTGTTCCACAGGGTTGCAAGTAGAGGGCCCCAGAGTGCCAAAAAGATTTGGATTACGGCATCAAGTTGTAATTACCAAG